GTGGTCACAAGTTACACTTTGAAATTGGCTTTTCTGCACTCCAGAAACACCATGCATAGGTCATTAGGGGACTTACTTAAAGACCTGCTTAAGAATTGAGTCGAATTTCCTGCAGAACTCACAAGGATGAAGATGCTAATTTACACCTTCAACTTTCACCACCACTGATGCTCTTTTCACTTTTAAGATAATTACACCATCAGACAACCCTCAGGCAGATCAGTCTGACTAGCAAAGCTTGCATCTTCAGTCAAGTCCTTCAGAAAGTCTGCTAGTGTAGCCAACCTTCTCACTGTAAACAAAGCTGAATGTATCCTATGTTTTCCTAGACACTGGAAGGAGTTCCCCTCTCAGTGTTGGGGAAGTGTCAGGTCTTGCTAGAAATCAGACCACTCACAGAAGAAACTTTTCTACCCATTTTATAGCTAGCATAAAGATTACACGGTCTGCCAAAGCCCACAAGGTACACTATGGAAAAGCAGAGTTTAAAGTTAATTCTTTGTATTCCAACACAAGGCTTTTGACACTAGGTAGGTGTTTACTCTTCAGCATATTTAAAATGTGAAATAAGAAATGCTTAAGAAAAACCCCAAACCTGTAGTCGGTATAATAGCAGCAGAGAGCAGTCAGATACAGAGTGGACAAACCAGTTTCGTAACATTGCAGCATCCCTGTCCTAATATAAGCACCAATAAATGAGCATAAAGCTAAAAACAGCTACAAAGTTGCAGCGATTTCAGTGACACACTTAGTCTCTTCATTCCAAAAGAGAAGCTTACAGTACCATTCAGTAATCTATTAGCACCAAGCACTGCACACAAAACCAGATTTCAGGTCTGAAAAAAACCCCTTAATTTCCAGGCAAGCATTAATACATATACAGAAGCAAACCACAAGGTATGCAACTGAACACATAGATTTGCATATGTGCTGTAATACCTGGGTAACACAAGAATTATTTTCCAAATATAATAAACAAAATGTATTAAAACTTGGTGACATCTGTTAAGAATCTAGAAACTTTATGAGTAAGTTTTAAGGGAAAAAGCTAATAGGCAGCAGTGTTCTGGCACACAAGATGTATTCTTCATGCACAGAATAGTGCAATTCTTTTTGGCATCTGCATTTTCCCTTACAAAGGGAAACCCAGTTTTGACCCTTGCAGTAGACCAAACCATCAACAAAAACCTTACTTTTGACTCAGCATACTGAATCACTGGTAAGATTGACTCAGTTGTAACTTATCAGATCAAGAATGAGACAAAACATGCAACGCTATCTGAATTCTGCCCATAGCTCCAGAACACTTTAAAAGCTGCTGCCACAAGAATTAGCAATTAATTCACCAAAGCTGAGAAATAGTAACAAAGTGACAATCTACTGCAGTGAGCTTCGCTTTTTGGTCTACTATCTAGAGCCCATCTGCAGTCCAATGAGGAGAGCACTGTATACCAGCATCCTGCTGAACAGAACAGTAAACTGTGAGAAATCCAAGACCATGTGTGGATCAGTCAGTCAACACAGGACACCTCTGCACAACCCAAAAGACTCCCAGAAAGTGCTGCTTTCCCCCTGTTAGGGGACCAAAGATTAAAGTATTATTTCTGGGCACTTAGGGGATGCAATTCCAACTTTTGTATGGTAGGTTAATGTTTTTCTTCCTTGGCAAATGCATTCTAATTGACTTCTCCAGTCACATGAAATCAGCACTGTTATGTATTGCTGCAATATTTAGGCAATGTTAAAACATTTCAGTGACTCCTATATAATGTTCTATTCATTACTTCTGTTTGCCTCCACCTCCTAGATCTGTCTTTCATTTTTTCTGTTCTCTTCCAGCTAACTTTTCACCTCTTTGTTCTATATAGCCCAGATCTCCTGTCCTCAGGGGGTAGAACCCAGGTTGTCAAACATCCTAAGAAATCACCTTAAGCTTTACAGGAAGGGCAGAAAAAAAAAATTTCACACCCTACTGACAATATTGGTTGACTAAAATTGAATTAGAACCCATTAAAAAGATTCAATCCCAGTAAAAGCAAGGAGAAGCATGAAATAATATTTCAGTCAGTTTAGGACTGCTTTATATTCCAGCTCTCAAGTGTTAATACACCAACAGGCAGCCACAGGCAAGTTATGGTAAGGCACTCTCCTTGCATAACATCTATGACCAGTGCTTCCAAACACACTTCAGAATTACTTTCTATTCTTTCAGGGGTTTTCAGAGGATGTCCATTGTTACTAACAGCATGAAAATAACATCCTAACAGTGACAATAACATACTATTTTCACACTTTAAAGAATAATGAACATTATTTCCACTTAAGTAAAATTCAAACCCCATTTCTGACTAGTGGGACTTAAGTGTGGACTCCATGTCAGTAAAAGAGAATATTTTGAGCAGTAGCTAATGATTGGCATAACTAAAAAGAACCTTCACCATCCCAATATTGGGGGGGGGGGAAAGAGAAGTAACCTCTTTTCTCTCCAAAACAGACAAAAAGAGGAAACCAAGATGCAAAATTATCCTTCCAAGAAATATATACTTATGCGTATTATATATTCAACACAGAAAATACATTTAAGATGGATTTATTTCCTGAGGGAAAAAAAAAATTAATTCTCTTCAAGACATCTTTCCAGGAGATACTGGTATCAGATGTAAAAAAGTTCTTTTCATAAAACTGAGACGTGGACACTGTTACACTAAGCTTCCCACTACAAAGAAACCAATTTTAAATACAACAATATAGGCATATAAATACAAACAGAAGACCTAGCCTGCAAAAAAAACCAAAATAAAATTAAAAATGTGTTTACTGCACAGACTTGTTTTTCCTGAGGAGATCTGAAAAATATATTGGTTTACTGTCTGATCCCCCTTATTCTGTTGTTAGCAGACACTCTCTCCACAGCTATTTCATTATGCATCATTTCTGAAATCCACATCAATAGCACTCAGTACATTTTAGCAGCAAGGCTACACATAACAGTGTATCTTTTTGTCCCACTTGGGAAAACCCCTTAGAAAACATACATAAACATATGTTGAAAGCAGTCTGAAGACAAGAGGGTCATCTGTTTATATACTTGACACATAAGAAATATTTTAACATTTTCAAATTTATGATAGTATTGGACATTCATAATCACTTCAATTTTCAGCTTTCCCAAGTACTACTTGTTATTTTCCTGCACAAAGTCTATTCTGATCTAGAAATTTATTTCTCCTCCTGTATTTCTAATTCCATACTGTCAATACAGTTATAAATTTTAAAACCTACTAAAATTATTTGAAATGAAGTAACTTCTGACCTATTCTTGACAGTTCAGCATGGGTATGTTTGTAATCAATATGTGTTTTTCATATTCATACAACTTTTCATTCTATGTCTAAAAAAAAAAAATAATCAAAACCAGGACAGAAGTGACCAATGTATAGGGAAGATAATGTGCTTTTTACACAGTGCCCTTCATTGTCCAAATGTCCCTAAGCACTTTACAGAACAGTAAGCCTCCTAGATGTACCACCACAGAGGCAAACACAGCAGCTGTTCTGCACTCTACAAGAGCTCACCTCTAACCAGAGTAATCTCATACTGAAAGGCTGCACATGAGCCCAAGACACTAGGGAAACATTTATTCTATTTAAAAAAAAAACAAAAGAAGAGGCTATTACATCTGTAGGTATAATGCTGCATGTACTTAGAATTCTAGTGTAAAATAAAGTATGAAAATCAGTACTGTAAATGTTATGTTGGAGGTAACATATCTCAACAAAAAAAGTAGTCTTTAATATCTGAGGTTTATGTTGTATTTTTCAAAAACCACACCTCAACTCTGCATATAAACCAATGCAAAACTCTCTGCAGACAGAACTCCCATCTACTCCTAAGTGCTGAGGCCCAGACTGAGATTTCACAAGTGACTGGTGCTTATACACTACATAATATTCTAGAGGAAAGTCTCTAAACCAAGAAAATAATCTAAAAATCAAAGAAACATTCCCAAAGGTGAAATCTTTCTTACTAATAACTTATTCTTTGTAAGAAAAAGTTAGTCCTCTATGGCAAGCCACTGCCTAACTTTTTCAGTTCTTTATCTTCCACTTCATTCATGTGGCAGCAATATTAACCTTTCGTTTCAGTCACACATACAATGCTCACCTTTGGTCTCAGTAACAAGCTGCATAAAGCTGTCTGTCTATATTAACACTTCCTCTCTTTCTACTTAACAGCTGGCTTTTTCTTGGTTCTGTTTTTAATGAACACCGTGGGTATAGACAGGTCAGATATAATCCTGAAGTAGAAAAAGTGGCAGATAAAAGCACAAAGCTCAGTTCTATACATTTTAGTAATCTTGCCTCACTGAATGAGCTATCAAAAGCCTTCAGGCATACACAATTCTAAAAACGGAAGCTTTCCATAAGGAAAGTCCTTCCTGTGTGATGAAACACAGAAGTTATCAAAACAGGATGTATTACTACAGTGAGCACACGTGCATCCTTACTTCAATTGTTATGGCATTAGCCCTTCCTAGCTGAAGCACTCTTTGGAGTGAAGTTGGTTGTTTGGTGGGGTTTTTTTGGTTTTGTTTTGTTTTTTTTTTTTTAAAGCAAGCATGCTCTGCTCCTAACTCAACAAAGCATGCAAAGAAAACTGGGCACAGAAGTGAACACAACTCAGGAAACAGCACACAGTCATATACTAAAGAACATGGTAAACTGCTAAGCATAAAGATTACTGTTTACTTGAAAAGGATTACAGTCAAGGTGGCCAGACAAGCCCTAAAATACAAATTAACAGAGTCTTCTATGCACCTGATGGCTGGATTATTCCAAAATCTGGAGAACAAGGTTGAAGATATTTTATCTCCCATCTCATTTGATACTACACTTCATGAGTGCATAAAAGCAATTCTGGAGTTCTGAGATTCAGAAACAAGCAAGTATTCCTCTTCCCTCTGCTCCACCCTGCACAAAGAAAGACACAGAAAGGAAACATTCATTTTATATTGTCAGTGTTTATTTACACGAGAGAAGGTTTACACAAGTTAAAAAGTTGTTTCAACAGGAACCCAACAATTAGTGATTTTGCCTGTCTTCAAAAAAGGGATGACTTTAAGATGTGATGAAGCAGCTTCAGAACACTGATGATCACTTGGGAAGAAAGTGCCAGGAATCAACTAAAACAAACAAACAAACAAAAACATAAAGAATTATATTAGTTCTATACAACTAGTCAGACACAAACACTTGAAAAAGCACTATTCTGCCCTTTCAGCTATTTTCCCTCCCACAACAATACTTCTGGGTGAGCTCTACTCCCAGCCTATGTAAAGCACAGCCCACTTCAACACTGGCTGAAACAATCCTGCAACAAGTTACAACACTGAGTTGACCATCCCTGGAAAACATCAAAGATCAGGCAGATTATGTTCAGTTGTCTGTCAGAGGTCTAAGATGTAGTACATCAGTAAAGAAATGCTATTTATTGGCATACCATATAAGGGCAAATGGAATGCAACTCGTTTTCCCATGACATGGCTTACACAGATGTTACTTTGCAAACAGTCTTGGAACTTGATTCATAACTAAGTTTCTCTTCGCATTTCTGTAACTCCCTCTATCTCAAAAAGCACGTATGTCTTCTCTATAGTCCCTGCCAGTAGAAAAATATTTTTTTTTTAAAGTAGTTAACAAAAATGAATATGTAGGATGCATTCTTACTTCTTGACCAAAAACACATGTTCTGTTAGCATGAGAAACAGTCATAACAGTGAAAGAGAGAATTTTTGTCTTTAGAAGTTACACTTGAAAACTAAATATTGCTATGTCACTTCTAGGAAAAGGGGCTGTTTATTTGATTAGTTAGCTACTGTGAAGAATGACAAAAACTAAAGCAAACAAAGCAACCTTTCTCCTTTAAAAAGGATAAATGTCATGCATTTGCCTTCCATGATCAATGACAGAAAAATTTAGTCTTCTCATCTTTTTATGTGGACTACACTTTCACTCATACTCAAAACTAATCTCCCACAAACCATCCATGATTTTCTGCCCATGTTCTAGCTAACAGGTGACAGGCGTTACAGTCTGACAGAATATAACTATTATTATTCTCATATGGTGCAAACCCACTTTTTTTCAACACAACAGTTTTTATGTCAATTTTAAAAGCAAACAATTACATAAACTGCATGGCATTTGGGGAAAAACGTACCTTCTGGGGAAACACAATCTCCATTCACAGGCACTGGTGCCTGAATAAAAAAACAAAAAAACAAACCAACATATCAGTGTTTAGTTAAAGCTTCACAGGTAGCACCCAAACTCAAAGCTATTTTATTGCTAAAGTCAAGAGATATTAATAAAACCAGAAATTTCTGTTGCCCCCACAGGAAATGGTCTACCTTGTAAACTTTCCCGTTTTCCTCCATAACTACTTTAAATATTTCTTGGTTGCTCACAAATGACAAAACAAACACACTAATAATAAGTGACAGATTAACATCTTACCTAACATAAAGGGGATTTTCCTACTGTACTGTACTGTCTCTGAGGATAATTCGATTTGCTGCTTATATACTAAAGAATAAAAATGCCTTTCCAATTACATTACTATACATGTTTCAGTATAAAGGTACACATGTGAATATATATATATACACACACAAACCTTACATTACATATATGCAAACATTTTAAATAAACGTGTTAAACTCTTTTACAAACACATTTTGACAGAGCAGGATTCAGTTTTGTGGAAAGTGCCAAATTTTAAAATGTAGGTCTGTAAGTCTAGGTCCATTTCAAAGCTGGATACACCACAACTCAATTGCAGTATTACACAGCATGTCTTGTGCTATTACTTAAAGGACAAAATTAAAGCTATTTTTAACACCAGTTGGAAGAAACCTGCCTCATGATGAGGATGCTAATTATTTGCATAGCAACAATCCTCCACTACCCTTCCATCAGCTCCTCACAGACAAGTTTTCCAACTGACATAAATGATCAGAAAGAAGCAGAGAGCACCTCAGCACAAGCAATCCTGCCTCGCTCACTCATACACACAAACGAAATGCAAAAAACATGTGGATGTTAGCCTTTCATGACACAAGCCCACCCCAAGTATGCCTACCCAAGCAGGTAACCCCAGGAGTAACCACTTAGGTGAACCATTCAAAAAAGAAACAACCTCAAAAGCAGCGTTTGCAGCTGTTTGAAGTTTCAGGAGAACAAAGCTGCCAGTGACCACCCATGTCTTCCACACCAGCAGAACTTCATGCCACTACTTAATGGCATGTGAAGACATTAATGAAAACTTTGCAGTATCCTGCAGGCAGGAAAACTGATCCAGAAGCCACAAGGCCAGGCTTAGCACAGTGCAGCACTCAAACTGCGCTGTGTTGTGTGAAATTCCCTCATGAACCTGCCTGCCCCTGAGCAGGCACAGGACTTGATCCACTGAAGAGCAGGTCAAAGCCTGTGAGGAAGGAAGGGAAAAACAGGATTCTTTTTTTCACTTTAGCTAGCGTAATTACCTGCACAGGGCAGGTTGTGGGACTAGTCTTGAAAGGATGTGCCAGTATGGCAAACATAATCCTAGTCTTAAAATCATAGAAGAGTTTGGGTTGGAAGGGACCTTTAAAGGTCATCTAGTCCAACCCCCTTCAATGAGCAGGAACACCTTCCACTAAATCAGGCTGCTCAAAGCCTCATCCAACCTGGCCTTAAATGCTTCCAGCAATGGGGCTTCTACCATCTCTCTGGGCAACCTGTTCCAATGTTTCACCACCCTCATTGTAAAAAATTTCTTCCTTATACCTAGTCTGAATCAATCCTCTTTTAGTTTAATGCCATTGCCCCCTGTATTATCACTACAGGCCCTAACAAGAAAGATAGGGACAGACTTTTTATGAGCCCCTTTTATGTACAGAAAGGTTGCAATAAGCTCTCCCTGGAGCTTTCTCTTCTTCAGGCTGAACAATGCCAACTATTCCAACTTGTCCTCATAGGAGAGGTGTTCCATCCCTCTGATCATTTTTGTGGGCTCCTCTGGACCCACTCCAACAGGTCCATGTCTTTCCTGTGCTGAGGACTCCAGAGATGGACACAGCACTGCAGGTAGGGTCTCACCAGAGCAGAATAGAGGGGGAGAGTCCCCTCCCCTGACCCCCTGGCCACACTTCTCTTGATGCAGCTCAGGACATGGTTGGTTTTCTGGGCTGAAAGTGCACATTGCTGGCTCATGTCCAGCTTTTCATCTAGCAGTACCCCCAAGTCTTTCTTGGCAGGGCTGCTCTCAATCCCTTCATCCTCCCGCCTGTATTGATACTGGGGGTTGCCCCAACCCATGTGCAGGACCTTGCACTTGGCCTTGTTGAACCTCATGAGGTTCACATGGACCCACCACTCGAGCTTGTCCAGGTCCCTCTAGAGGGAATCCCATCCCTCAGGTGTGTCAACTGCAGCTTGGTGTCATCTGCGAAGTTGCTGAAGGTGCACTCGATCCCACTGTCTATGTCACTGATGAAGATATTAAACAGTACTGGTCCCAGTACAGACCCCTGAGGGACACCACTCATCACTGACCTCCATCTGGACATTGAGCCGTTGACCACTATCTCTGGATGCGACCATCCAGCCAACTCCTCATCCACCAAACAGTCCACCCATCAAATCCATCTCTCCCATTTAGAGAGAAGGATGTTGTGGTAGACAGTGTCAAAGGCCTTACAGAAGTTCAGATTGATGACATCCATAGCTCTTCCCTTCTCCACTGACACAGTTCATCATAGAAGGCCATCAGGTTAGTCAAGCAAGACTTGCCCTTAGTGAAGCCATGCTGGCTGTCTCAGATCATCTCCCCGTCCTCCATGTGACTTATCATAGCTTCTAGGAGGATCTGATCCATGATCTTCCCAGGCACAGAGGTGAGGCTGACAGGTTGGTAGTTCCCAGGGTGCTCCTTTCAACCCTTTTTAAAAATGGGTGCAATGTTTTCCTTTTTCCAGTCACCAGGGACTTCACCTGACTGCCATGACTTTTCAAACATCATAGAGTGTGGCTTGGCAACTACATCTGCCAATTCCCTCAGGACTCTGAGATACACCTTGTCAGGTGCCATTGACTTAGGTATGTTCAAGTTCCTCAGGCAGTTGTGACCCTGATCTCTTACAGTGGGAGGGACTTTGCTCCCCCAGTCCCTGCCTTGAGGTCCATCCACTCGAGAAGTGTGGGAAGAAAGGCTGCCAGTAAAGACCGAGTTAGAAAAGTTGTTGAGTACCTCAGCCTTCTCCTTGGCCATTTTTACTTGTTTGCCAGTTGTGTTCATCAGGGGGGTACACTTCCTCTGACCTTCCTTTTCTGACTGACATACCTATAGAAGCTGTTATTATTCTTTGCATCCCTTGACAAGCTCAGCTCCAGCCATGCCTTGGCCTTCCTGATGCTGTCCCTATACAACTGGGCAATGTCTCTATACTCTTCTCAGGATACCTGTCCCTGATTCCAGTTTCTATGCATTTCCTTCTTGCCCTTTATTTTGACTAGCAGGTCTTGACTTGTCCACACCAGTCTCTTGCCATCCTTTTCCAACTTCTTACACAGGGGGATCAAGAGCTCTTGTACTCTATGGAAAGTGTCTTCCAGGCCTTAATACCAGATCATCCCCTCTCCTTCCAGTAAAACTAAAGCTTTAACTCATAAGGCAGGGAGAACCAGTGGTCACGATGTATAAGCAGGTGCCTACCACTTCTGGGATAACTGCTCAGGAAATCTGAGATAACTCAGCACCTTCCCCCCAGTAACAGATCAAAAACTCATCCCACTAAACCAGGAATCTCTTCACTATACAACCCTTTCAAGAGGAACACCAGTTTAAAAACACCAAATAAATAAATAAATAAATTTAAAACCAAACACATAAAATCCTCCCCAAAAACCCAGACCAAAACCCCCCACCAATCTTTTATTTCACAACTGACCACTGAACAGAAAATTCTGCTTCTAAGACCCAAATGGAAATGTACTCACAGAAAACATATAGGGAGAAAGGTAGTTAACAGACTTTCCTGCTTAGATCTTAATTATTTGAAACACATTAAGTATGCAGATTCAAATTTTGTTGTAGATTTTTTAAATTATCAGGAAAAAAAGAATATTCTCCCCTGTAAAATACTATTTTGCATTTTATCAGAAGAGACTTCATCTAGCCAAGCTTTCCTAGTTCACTTTCCAGTACTATAAGGGAAGAATTATGTGATAAGTCTGAGAAACACTGCTCTACTAACTATATATAGATTATCTTGGCGATTTTCCAACTTGCAAAGTCCTCGGCAGCTTCTTCACAAAACAAATGAGCAAGCAGTTCTCAGAATTAAACAAAAGTTTGGCTGTCCTGGTCAGTTTTACAGATGGCAGCACTTAAAAGCCAGAAATAAACACTACATCTTAGCACTAACACATTCAGCTCTATTCCTCCCGGGTTTAGTTTTCAACATATACTAACACTGGAGCTAAAACAGAGATGAAACAATTTTTAGAGGCTAGAGAATGCTAGATATTTTCACCACCTTGAGTTAAAACTCGATTTGTAGTTGCAGAGGGTAAGTGTAATTTTATCTGGTTCAGTATGTGTTTTCATATGCACATATTATCTTCTACTACTTTGGAATTGACTGGACATGGCAACTTCACCAGTTGTAGAATCATTCCTAGTTTGCCACCAATATAGATGACATTACACATGCCCACCATCCAGAAACTAACTCAGTAGAATGGAAACTCCCTACCACAGACAAGCCATTCTAGTCCCACACCTGTAAAATAATGAAAGGTCAAATAACAGTACAATAAATCCTACTGAAATCAACAAGACTATCTTGGGAACTACCCAATCAAAATCTATTAAAAAAATACTGATTAATGCACAATTTGATAAGCATTTGGTAGGATTTGTTTGTTTTCTATTTCGTTCTTAGTTATAATTTTCTTGCTCACCATGAAAGTTGGTTCATAACAATACTGAGTGTAACCTTTTAGTTTGGGTTTTTTTTTGGGGGGTGGGGTGTTTTTTGAGAACTCAGTACACCCAGTTTAAGGCAATTATCAGTCAACTCAAACTGGATCCAGGAAACAGAACTGTAGGGAATGAACTCTCACTACACAAGTAGCCCAGAAATTTTGCAGTAGCTGAAATATGATTCTCACTGTACTTGCATACAAAATCTCTACCTCGCATTTCATTCTTTGGTTTTTATCCAGAATTTAATAGATGGACATAAGTTAGTAGAAAATGTATCTGCTTTTAGTTTAAAAAAAAAAAAGCGCAAACAAAAAAAACCTCCAGACACAGGCAGCCTTCATTTAAAATTACCACAGCCATTAAAATTCTACAGCCAACTCTCACGTACTTTCACTTCAGTATGAGAGATGAATGCCTGACAACCAAAGTGGGCAGTGTAGTGTACCAGACAAAAAGATACCTGCTTAAAATGTGCGAGTCAACCTCCCTGCTTATATTTAGAGTCTGACTGTCTATCATTCATATTTCAAGATCATTTTACTTTTTTTAGTTATCATAGATTGGAAATTGTATGCAGTATGAACAGTATTTAAAAGAGTATTGCATCTTTTCCCTGACCAAAAAGTACCAAGAGACAGTATCCTACAAAAACACAATTAAAATACTTAGGCTGAACTGAAACACAGATGGAAAGGAGTATATGATGACAACTTCACAAACACAGTATCACTTAAAGAAAATAATGTGAGGCACAAAAAAGCCAGGAAGAGATAATATTTGATAAGAAGGCAAGCACTCATAATAAAAAAGATACTAAACTTTGATACAAGGTACCTATTTCATGAACTGATTTTACTAACCTCCAGCCCAAAAACCAGGAAAAATTTTGTTTGATATTAGGAGACAAAATAACAGATACTGCTGATTTAAACAGACAATTATGCTTCAAAGTACAAACAGGACAGAACACAAAAGGAAATATTCCTTTGGAGTTTTTCACCATCCAAATACATTTTAACTTGAAATTTTAGTTCTATTTAAACACTCACTAAAAATTATTGTAAATTTGAAAGTACAGAGAATGTATAGATTTTACATATATAGAAAAACATATAAGCATATATATATGCTTATAGCTGTCACTGACATGTATGAAAACATATTTGAATTCTAAATAAAATTTTCTTTCATATCAAACTTACAGTCCAATTAATCAACATTCACAAGTAAAACCATAAAGGTACTTTTAAAGAAGTGCTGAAAGCAAGAGACCTGAATAGGAAAAAGAGATTTGATGCTTTTTTTATGACTTAAACTAACTTTTCTTTGCAACTGACACTCTTTATTTGCTTATGACTAAACACCATCCAGGACAACACATTCTTACTAGAAATGCTGTTGGAATGCTAACCGCACAGACACTGGACCGCTCCTTTGACACCTTAACTTGCATAATTACTGTGACTGATGGGACAAAACACTGGCTGCTCAGGCAGCCATGCACATGTGCAAAATACCTGCCATGCTTGTGTGGTTGTGAGCACAGGCTCAATCATGGCATATGTTTAAAAAAAAAAAAATTTAAAAAAAAAAAAAAAAAAAAAAAAAAAATTAACACTTGGAGGTACTTTTCTCCATGTAATTTCTGGTAACTTTGCTTAATTTCTGGCATCCAAATGAGCATATTTTAAAATGGAAGAAATTCTCCTCCACTATCATTTGCACATGAAAGCATCAGACCTGCAGGACATTTTTCTTGCCTGAACAGGAAACCTGCATGTTTTAATTTTATGTTAATTTCCAGAATATGACAGGCATTCTTTAAGAAACATTCAAAAAAGCATCCCCATCTCTTACAGCAATGCATTTAATTATGCAAGCAGACAAACAAAGGATCCCTTTAGTGATTAGGGACTACAGTTAGCTAGTCAATGAGTTCTAACACTGGGTGGTAACTCATGGCAACAGGGGAGACAGAGAAGACAGCAGGCTAGATACAAATAGCAGTCCATCTTGCTATTCAGGATCAGAAGAAACAGCACTGCAGAGGGAGGAAAAAAAAAACACAAACAAAACAAATCCCACCAGAACAGTAATGAACCTGCCAGAAAGCACAATTGGATCACTATATTTCCCTCACAACCTCTGTGCTCTTCTTTTTACTTTATGCCTTAAATTTTTGTTTAAGAACCATTTCAGTTTAACTACTTTATTTTAGTTTTGGAGTTCTGAATCTTCTTCTCCTATTAATCACTTTTTAAAAACGTAGAAAAAAAAAGTAAATATCTTACCGACTGCACAATCGATCGGGCAATCTCCTCACTGCAACAAAATGGGCTGCCACTCACAAGAACATTTGTGCTGAAAAAAAGAGTTTTAAAACCTGTTTGATCAATCAGTGGAAGAGACACATGCACAACTAAGCACCTATGGAAAAAAACCACCTTCACATACAGAGCTCAGAAACGTGTATCTGCAAGAAATGAGGAAGTCACAAACATTAAGCACCCAATAATGCTGGAAGGGGTGTTGTTTGTTTCTTTGGGTTTGAGAGGGTTTTTAGACTATACATTCCGTATTAATGCAAGCAGTGCTCATACCCAGTGCTTCTGACAGCTAACGGGTACAGTTCAGAGGACCACAGCTAAGAAACTATATCCTCCCAAAAAGTCAGCAGAGATAAACTGGCACTTCCTGAGGGAGCTGAAAAACACCTAGATGGCTAGCACAGACGGTGTGAATATTCCCCCTGTCTCTTGTCTTGGAAGGATGGCCAGATTCTGTGGCAGGCTACCCTTGGTTTGCAGTAGTCTGCCTGCACTATCTAACAAGGAGGAGGAAAAATCAAGTCAGAATTCTTCTCCAACATACAGCAGATACCTGTACTGCCTCCAGAAAGCAGACAAATTATGGGACCAAATACTTTGCAGAAACATTTCCCTATGAATATATATCCTTTCAGACTGTGAGTCTGATCACAAGTTTTTAACATCCTACACAGTAAACCGCAAGAAGTTTAATTCTTCAAAGCACGACTGCAACTTTTTGATTTCATCAAGATGAAGCTCAAAGTGTTCTGAAACAATCAAGACCAAAACTTGAATATTATCCTACAGTATTTCTGCCATGCTAAAATGGAAATACCAACCTGTCCAACTGCTAAGGTGTTCAATCAGCTCCAAGAAATGGAGAAAGTCACATTTTCCCAGTAAAGTAGAAGACAACAGTAACTACCTCAGCACAGCTTCCCCCACTGCCTTTGCTCTCTGGTTTAGCTAATGGCAATCTACAGCCCTTAGAAAGCACCAGGCAAAGACACCTGCCTGGTCTTCAAAACCTCTGGTGCCAGAACTGCCAATGCAGAGCAATCCAGAGAGCTCAATAAAGTCCATTTTAATTTAGATTAGGCCAAAGACTAGTAAAGAACAATAATTTGGTTCTCTCATTCCAGAGAGCAACTAAAAAATATGGAAGGCTAAGCTGCAAAAGAATTTTGCAACACAGCAATGCAGCACTGAAGGACAGAACAGTGACAAGAGGATTTGCATGACATAACAGATTCTCCCAGAATGATCCCAAACAAACACTCTGGGGCCATTTCTGGAAAGCTGAAGTAATCTATGTCACTTTTATACCATCATTTTATTTTTTTTTTTAACCACTTCCCAGTAAATCATCATCACACAAGGTGCAATTAGTCAATAATAGTCTATTATCAAATAATTATCAATCAAAACCATGAGTATTCCAGTTATCTCAAAGTAAAAAAATCGAAGCAGTACATGCACAGCTGCCACACACTGAATACCACCACCAGTACCAGCACAATACAAAGAGAAAAAGACACAACTGGATGCTTACCACTTAATAGTACCTCCATCAGCTTTTTTATGAAGCAAAGCTTTCCAGTATTCATGGGTGGATTTAATAATTTCAACAGCAAAATCCTAGTTTACATCAAGGAAAAGTTTTATGAATTAAAATGTTATTAAACAGAAAAAAAAAGCCACAGAACAAGTTTATTAAAACATACTGTTTCATGTGTTATTTTCAGGGGCCTCCTTTGAGGCCTCGTTAAATTTCTGGAAAATATAACACCCTTTTTATGAAAAGAAACAAACTTCACTGTCAAATACACTGGCAACACATTCAGGACTTGGCCTTAGTCCGCAGCCAAAAAACATGAAAGCTGCACACAAAAAAAAAATTAAATCAGCACTAGATGCTAAGCAGACACCTACAGCTGTAGAAAACTAACAGGTCCTAAAATGGGACAAAGCACATGAGCTATGACTCCTCTGTTACACGTGCACATGTGGGTCAGAGTTAAGGTTTCCCCTCTAATGGCAAAATTTGCATTTACTTCATTAATTGCCCCATCATATACTTAAACATTTGCAACAACGTAACACATCAGCTGCTTAACAGTTTTTGCTTAAAACGTAAATAATATTGGGGACAGTGTGGTGATGAAAAAGCTTCCCAAAAAATAAAGTAAAATAAACACTAAGCATCCAGATGATATCTTGACTGGTTTGCAAAAAGCTGCCAACAGAACATTCACATTTCCTAACAAGGAGTGACTTGGCAAAATGCCACTGGAACATTGTGAACTTCACCAGAGCTGCTGGAGCACAGCCATGGCTGCCTCACCACATCCTGGGTCTCTAGAAATGCTTGAGAATTATTCCAGTGCTCCAAATCAGCCATCATGGGGCATTTAGTGCCTCAAGCCTGAACCCTGATGGCTTGACAGGATTATACCAATTTAACTGTTGCTACAGAGCAACACTCTGCTTTACAGAGCAGGGAAATCTCCAAGAGCAGTTCCTGGGAGAACAGGGGAAAGATCAGATTATCAAACCTTACAACTCTTAAGTTTCATTGACTTAAAAGACAGTTTTAGTGCAGAGGGGAGTCAGGGCATCTCTTTAACCAGACAAAACACGTGAAGTTGCTTGTGCTGGTTAGAAGGCATTTTATAACTTTGATAGCACACTGCAAGGTTGAACTAGCTGACCATGGACATCATTCAGTAGGAGCCTGCGATTCTTTGCCAAAAATGGTCTACAGAGCATGCAATACACGATTTGCAAAGTGTTTTTACTCAAATCACAGTTTCCTCTAGAAAAATCCAGGTATTTTCTTCAGCAAGGTCTATTCCCAGGTCTACTCTCCTTTCAAACACTAGCCATTTTTACTGTAGATAGTTTAAAATGTCATTCTTTTTTTTTTAAAAAAAAAAAAAAAAAAAAAAAAAAGGAAAATACTTTCTCAGCTTTCAACTCTAAACTATTTCAAATGTTTTAACACAGAATTATCAGGAAAAAGTATACCTTGAGCAAATACCAAGTATGAAAAAAATCTGCAACCCACTGTCTGTCTTACACTGCATAGCCTGAAAAGAATGTCAGGAAAATTTATCAATCGGGACTGGAAAAAATACCTGAAAAGACAATCTGTTCATTTCTCTGTCAGGGAAAATGAAAATGCTGTGAAAAAACCCTACACACACACACACACAGATGTGCGTGTAAATCTTGTCAGGATTAGGACTGAAATTTTTTTGCATATTTCCTTTAGTAACCTATGCATTTTCCCTTAATAAAATGGAAAACAGTAAATATTATGTATTCCTAGCCTAATAAATGGTATTCAAAGATCCCTCATATAAAAATATTCTTTTTGTTAAACCTCCTCCTTTACAATTCCAAAAATTCTAGGATGTATTAGAGAGGCCACATGACAGAATAATGCAGCTTTAATTTTGGATTATCTTCACCTTGTCTTTAAATTCTCCATTGAAAGCAAACTGATTTTCCGGTTTACCATCAGGGACTTTATATAGTCGGAACCAGTCAACTGTAGCCTCAAGATAACCCGGTTTGTGCTTCTTGACATCATCAATATCTATGTTTTTAGGAAAAAAAAAAAAAAAAAAAAAAAGAAAGTAATTTTTACTCATTTGTAACATTCATATTTTTAAAGTCTCATAAAGGATCTGCAAGCATTTTGATTCCACTGAGCACTTCTAAAGTCACTGGGGAACTTCACTTTATTACATTAGCTGCCCACAGTTGATATCTTATGATTTCACAACCACATTAAACAGGTAAACCAGTTGCCTCCCGCCCTTCGTTAATTAAGACCCAAAGGGACAATGAATAAAAGGACCATACTTGTGACAGGAGGAACATTCCATATTTTACAGGCTTTCATCTCAAGTAGATACCTCCTTCAATACTTAGGTTATTCAGTGAGGTAAATTTTTTTTCCCAGCAACTGCAGGAACTGCAGGGACTACAGGCATTTTTACGAAAGAATAGCTAGTAAAAACAATTTCAACACATGGATTTTTAAACCAGCACCTCAAACCAAAATAGAGGCTTGACTTCTCAAAGTTGTATTAAAGATACCCCTTCGCTCACATTACTTCCAAATTCAGCCCATTAGACACAAGACAGATATGTGCCAGGAGCACTAAACACTAACTCTATTGATAACCCTGTGATATCTGCATACTCACAGTGATAAGCCAATTCTACCTTTACCTCTATAATCCTACTGTGCAAGGATGGAACAGGACACAAAGAGGAATGCATGTCATTTGCAGGACACCCTTCGGAGCCAGAGATGAACATTGCCACAGTGGGTACAGAGAGATTAAACAGTCACACAGTAATGCTGCTTGAGGGCTATACTGCTGTAGCAAAGACGCAGTTCATGATCTTAAACATTTACTTCTGCTGTGCGTATCAAATTCTAACAGGTTATCCCATGAGAACACCATCACTCTTGTCACTGGCAATGAGGGGATCCTATCAGCCCCTTGGCAAATTAACTCTCTGGCAATGATTATATGGAAAAGCCTTCAATACAATTTTAATTGATTTTGATACAATAAAGGATTTTGTCCTTTCTGGAAGCCAAATACTTTTTGTAGCTGATGTAATCCTTCTCTTCCCATTTATTTCCCTCCTGCAGTCAATTCTGATGGAAATGCGAACTGACTTTATTGCTGTGCTTTGTGTGTCATCTTCCAGCTATTTCACAACCTGTCTGCCAGACCACCTTCCATAGTGTTAGTCTCTTCCTCTAGTGTTTTGCAAGTCACTTGCTCATTACTCCCTTCCCAAGTCCCTCTTGCTCTCTCTCCATAATGCTTGGCTACTTCTTTCTCCTCTTCCATAGAGAGCCTCACTCACTGACACCTCCTTCTTGGTTGGCAGTGATTCCGCATGGATGCTCTTCTGTCTATCCAGTCTTATAAAACAGATTTTCAGAGTTGCTTAGTCCGCAGAATTGACACTTGGTCATGTGCTTTCCATCTTTAAGTGCCTAAATCTCTTTATAAAATCTAGTCTGTGAAACTGAACAAAGACATTCAAGTATTTCTAAAGAGAACTGTAAGAGAAAGGAAAAAGTCTTGTGCTACAGGCTATTCAATTCTCCATAGACCACCAAGAGCGATGACATGTCTACTGAACTGTAAAACCAAACTATGTGAGAAGATATGCTGAGTCTTCATAGGCATCTGATAGACGCCACTCCCAAATTCCACTGGATCACATACTACCCAAAGAATAAAACATAAAACTTAAGAACCCTGTGTAAATTTTTGCTTCTGCACGTACTTAATAGGGCTACGTGTTTATGGACTCAGAGTAAAACAAATTTTGAACTTGGCTGCTGGCCATCTGCCTGTACAAGATTAGGGAGTTTCACTGGCAGAATCCCAGAGAGGAAAAAAGAAAAAGGGCACATGAGGCTGTGCTAGAGGCAGGTTTTCTAGCTGGAATACATGTTTAAGAGTACGAGAAGTCTTTCACTGGGGTGGGTGGGTGAGACCAACCAAAAAGGAATGATTTAGAAAATGGTAGGGTCTTGGCTGGAAGGAGGATACTTCATTTGGGCACTAATAAAACTGCAGCACGAATTCAAATTGGTTTCAGGGCTCCAGTGTATCATCCCATTCTCTCCAAGCAAGGGAACATCCCTCCTCCCATCTTAAGCGCTTGTCATCTTTTCTTGTGAGGTTTGAACTCACAATCCCTAGTACTTGTTGAAGAGCCAGTATCTCAAGTCTGTAAAGCAAACCAGGCTGCTGCAGCCATTTCCTTGACTGCCAGCAGTGGATGAACTCCAGATCTCCATCTCCAAACGCTACTTATATTGAAGCATACTTTCTCAGACTGCTGCTACTTTTTTCTGGTTCCTGTTCCAGCAAACTTATCTCCTAATTCTGCTTTTCCATTCCTCCTTCTTGGTTACTTGCCTCCTATTTCTGTAAAAACTGTTCATCAAAAGTGCTTTACTCTCTACTGACACTTGTGTCCTTCCCCATCTGCTGTTCCTTATTTATAGGCTTTGTTTATATTTCTTTAAAAGGACTCAAATATTACAATAGGCTTTGGGGCAGGCTTTCATCATCTCCTTAAGACAGGAATGACCATCTTCAGGGACAGAATCAGCTCTCTGAATTTCACTCTACTGGTGAATACCTTGCTGGGGTAAAATGACTACAGAGAATCAGGCTATGACATTGTATATCCCCTAAAGTACTGTCCTAGCTGCTGCATTTCTGGTTCTGAGAACTCAGGAAGCAGAACAGTGGTTGCTTTTATTTCCTTGGTTCCTTGCAAGTTATTCTTCCTCATCCCCATGCTTTGCTTCATTATTCTTTATTATGAAGGATAGTTACTGGGCACCAGATGAAGAGTAAAGGGTTGAAGAAAAAAAATCTCCAAACTATATAATGGGAGTTGGTGGCAAGCAGCAGGAAAGAGTGCAACAGTGCACCAAAACAACAACAAAAAAATCCTGTTGCTGTGGAGTCAGCACATAGCACAAAATATAAGGAAAACAGCAGCTCTTGCATCACTCAACAGCTACCTCTTCAGTTCATTAAAAGGCACCATAGAAAAGCTTGAAAGACAGCTGGTCCTCAACTTTGAAATCCAAACAGCATCTTTGGGATATCAGGGGGAGCAGGAAAAAAACACTCAGAAAACAGAAGAGTAAGGAAAGAAAGGTAAAAGAAAAGATCATGATAAGCAGTACAGTGATTTACTGCACTAGTATCTGTAGAAGTTAGCTGCATAATATGATTTTTAAAATACTGAAGATATCTTTTTCACAGCAGACACTGTTAGACACTTTTTTTCTGACCCTCACTGCTTACCTTCCCTTAGAGCTAAGTACTCACACCGATGTGAAAAGGTGCTGAGCAAGTATGGGAGTAGCAAGCATGTACTCGGCCTAATGTAGTTTCATCTCTGCATGCAAACCCCGCTCAGAGTGACAGAGCAGAAAGGTCAGGCTCCTGCTGGTATGCTATCAGCAGGTACCCTCTGGGCTCTAGGAAGTAATCTCTTCATATTGCCTACATCCAACCACAGGTCCCAGTTTTCTGGGCACCAAAGTTAAGCACTGAGGGTTAAAAAAAGATGGCTAATCACATTAAGGGTTGCAGTTCAGTCTCAATAAGGAAAATCACTAGAGGCTGGCACAAACAACTGCTGCTCTCTGTCAAGGGAGGGAGCCAATGCAAACGCAGATCCCAATTCTACCCTACTTCACAAAAGAGAGCAACAAAAGCATTTGTACAAAACTACCATTTTTAGTACAACAGATGCTGCTTCTTGCAAGCAAAGCTAAAACAACATGCTTGCAGCAAGCTTTCTAAACAAGGTCTGTGGGAAGAGAGGACATATGTTTTTAATAACATCTTGTAAACATTTACAGGAAGCAGCAGCTACATTCCATATAAAGGCATTTGGTGTATTTTATGCAGCATGGTGTGAGGGGGTAGGGGGCGAGCCTCAGTACAGATAATTAATTTCTTTATATTGAATGCTTACACAAATCCACAACAAAGGTTTTCAGGGCCTCTGCTGCTTTTCTGCGTATAAATACACTCACATGCAAGAGTCTGTAACAATATATAGTACGAAGTATGCAGTATGCTTTGTTTTTTGCCATTTAGGGTTTAATCACTCAACTCAAAAAGCTACACTTGAGTTGCATACTGGAAAAGCAGCATGGCAACACAGCACAGTTAACTCTAGCAGTGCCAGCAAAGGGTAGCACAACAAAGCCAGCAGACATCACCACTGCTGTTGAATATATCTAGGCATCTTTCCAGTGAGCATTAGCAAAAAAAGGCTGCTAGATTCCAGGCCAGTAAACCATCTCCAAAATGCCATCCAACATATGTAACTTGTCCAATTTACTGAGGGAAGGTAAGATGACCTTTCGAGCATCAGACTTTTCATAAACTGCTTCAAACACACTTCATTCTGCTTCAACTACCAGTGATCTTCAAAACCTCTTGTCCAACATGAAGATGCTATATACATTTAGACCAAATTACAGCATGAAAATATAACTCATCCTTTCTGAGCCTAACCTTGTAAAGCATGGATATGTATGTGAATTCAAATACATTAAATTCAATCCAAATTATGAGATAAGCAGACAAGCAGCCTTTCCGCTTCAACAATCTGCTGCTTCTCCTGGCTAGTATTTTAAAAGAAACAAACAAAAAGCAACAACAACAAAGCAGCCAGTCCTATTACACCACCAAGATTTAGTGTTTCAGTGTGCAGGGAGCTTTTAGGCCCTTTCCCAGACTTGCTTGGTCTGAAGTTGCTTTGCTGGGCCGCTAATGGCCATCTGCCTAGCAACTGCCTGAGCAGAAAGACAACTCAGTGGTTTTCAGGTAGCCACAAAGACGAATCTTATTGAAACAGATAAATCTGAAATGTCCAGTTTTAGTCTAAAAGAAACTTTCTCTGACAGGTACCTGCATCTGACATACAGCTTGTGTTTGAAGTGAGATTGTCCCCATGCCCACCAGTATTAAGTGCTATAATTTCAAACAGATTACCTTCTAAAAAGATACTAAACCCCTGCTATTACCACTGATGACACAGTTCCCACTTGAATAGGTGCTAAGCACTGCTTATCATTCCTGAGTATTGTCACTATAAACTAGAATTTCTCATTGCTCTGTGTGAAAGAGAGATCTAGGCAGGGTTTCCAATTTAAACCAGTATTTATCAATAAATGCCTGCAGGACACAGTACAGTGGAGTGCTATGAATAAACAATGAGAACTGCTCAGAAGTTGGGACTGCTCAGTTTTAAGTTCTGCAAAGTCTCAGAAAAATCAATTGCACTTACGAGAACTATCACAATCCCAGAAGGAGAATATACAGAGTACCTGGGGTGTGCTTAAAGCAGCAAGAGACACTGCGCGGGCTCAGGATGGGGTTTGCAAGTAATCACCACTCTGGTGTCTTGGAATTATCTTTTCCAAATGTTCACTGGGGGCTGTGCACATACTGAGCTGAAAGCAAATGTGATGATTCTCAGTCCAATTTGAAACGTTTAGCAAATGATACAGAAATGACTGGACAGACTTAGAAGGCAACACTTAGCCTCATCTTTCCCTAGGTGGCCACCACTGTAACACAGCAGCACGTCAATTATAGAGGGAGATACCAGTTTTATCTGTAGCTGCTATCCCTTTATGCTGAAATAATTAACATCTTTGGGAAGGGGGAAAAACAAGTATGAAAGGACATATTGTACTGCCTACTCCAACAGATTTGTTTGTTTTCAGACTGAAGAAGGATTGCTGTTAAACACTGCAAAGCTAGTCATGTTTTGTGAAAGCAGATGGGGGCTTTATTTTTTTCCTTTTTCTTTCCTTTTGTAAATCCTGGACTGCAACTCCAATCCCAAAGGGAAATCATATTAAACTGGATAAGCATTTCTGCACTTCTCTGAATCTCAGAAAGACAGTTCTCTTAAGTTTTTATTATTTCTTCTATTCTTATTATTTTTTCTTATTTTTCTTCTATTCCCTGATAAGAAAAGGATACACACAGTAATCAACTACAGGCAATGGTTTGCCCTTTTTTTGTTTGTTTGTTTAAACAAGTCTAAAAATCTTACTCCCCTCTCAAACAAACTAAAGCTGTAACACAGCTGACAAATCAGTCATCACTTGAAAAAATGAAACAAAACCAAACTAGAGGGCTTTCAATTAGAACTACTTAACCCGGTGGCATAAACTAACCTAGTTTTGCCCCTACTTAGTGGACTCCTTTTCAATTCTCTCACCCATTTTTCTGATTAAACTCTCAGATAAATTGTTAAGGAAAAAACGTAAGAATTAAACAGAACAGTGTATAGAAATAAAGTGCTAATTACTTGTCTTTTAACTACTGACACTTATATTGCATATCACTGCACATTATAGAGAGGTTTAAATTGACTCTAACATTAACAGCAAACTATTACTTACTATTTCCTTAAGCTCTAACTGTCAAAGTAGTTAAAGAGTCATAAACACTACAAAGTAATTCATCTGCCCAATGATTTTAATCAGCATCAACCCAAGAGTTTCCTTTTCCTCATTTCCTCTTCTCCCCTTCTTTCCCCACAAGCCAAGTATTCTCCATGTGAAAGCAACCTGCAAGAAAACTGAGAATGAAGGGCCAGTGCAGTGATATACTTACTTTACATTCAGAAACCCAGAAAAAGCCTCAATAGCTGAGAAACATAATTCCTTAAAAAGCTACTGGATAGCCCTATTCCTACAGGAAGGCCACTCTGTGCCATGGTACTCCCCAACAACAATGAACAGTATCTAATTGTACATACCTGACAGCATATATGTTTTTTGGCCTCGTAACAACCACTGAGACAAAACCTCCTCACTTAATTCTGTTGGCTCACAGTAACACTGCATTTGAGGAAGTGAACCTCCGTTTACCCAGAGAAAAGCTGAACTTTTCCTGTGCTATAAAAACCTAACTCCCTGCAGTTTTAACACATCTGCATCATCTTCTTATTGAACAGTCTGCAAGCAGAATTATACCTCACGTGCTATTCACACTGACACATTTTAGTACTTGAATTCCATCTGGATACCAGAAGCATGGTCAAGGAGAACAAGTCTGGACAGGGTATGTCCCCCTGCACAGCTACCCATCACCAAGGCTGATACTAGGGTGAGCTGCATTAGTAGTAGTTTACTTTTCAAATTTTCAAGCTAAAAGGTTCAAGCTAATTGTTCATACTAGGCAACAAACTCCGGAAGTAACCCAGTTACAAGTGACAAAATATTGAAAAGGTACAGCCCTTTTCAAAATGCAACACAATGCCTACAAACATAAAAGGAACAAACACTTTCAAGAAGGAAAATAGCAGTGTGCTACATAATCTGAGTGGGTAAATATGCACTATTACACAGGAGATAACCCTGTAATTTTAAGAGGTCATTTTCTAAGGCAGTTATGTTTCAGAAGTCAAAAGATTTTCTGCATGACAGGTCCTCTTGAAAAATCCAAGTATCAAAAGCTTAGTGTGAAAGCACGTATGTCCTCCTTGAAGGAAGCACCCAATTTAAACAACAACAAAACAATAAAGAAGTCTTGGCCTTTCCACTGTCTGCCTCTTCTTGTCTTGAGTGGCCTAAACTCTGGTACCATTCTACTGTGCAAGTTGCTGACATAACTTGCATTAAGAAAGATAAAAATACTTGCCATGGATTTTCTGGGCTTCTGGGTCATCCACGCTTATTGCAATTATCTTCCAATCTGTCTCTCCTTCATCAACAAGAGCTAAAACACCCAAGACCTTCACCTGAACAATCTCACCAGAAGAACGAATCTGAAAGAGAACACAATCTCACAAAAATTTGGAAAACAGTCCAGAGAATTTTTCTTTTTTACCTTACAGACACAACACTTTTATTACATTTTTGACCAGCAGGTAACAGAATTGCAAGATACTTCTGTAAAACCAGTACACAGTTATTTAACATTACTAGCCTTTCTACCACCATTGCTATTCTTCAACTCTCCATTCTCCAGTCAACATTTATTTAAGCAGAGAAGCCAGAAAATTTTTTTCTTCTCTTCTACCCCACTTCCCACACAACTTCTTGATCTTCACAACAAACTGCAAATCAGAAGCATCTCATACACATTTTTTAACTCTTTCTTGCCTCTTGACTCTCTACTTTTACAACTTCTGATCGTCACCTATCTCATGCTGTTCCTTCCTTTAGACTCCAATATACACACCTGCCTTCCCCAAAAATATGAGCACAAATCTTTTTTTGCATTTTCTTGGGAACCTTCTCCCTACCAACTAATATTCCCTTTAAAACTCTTTCTGGATCTCTTGAAATTCAGCTTTAGCTACCCTTCCTCAAATAAAACCACCTTTACTGAGGCCACCAACTAAATTTTCCTTTACCTAAAATATCCCAACAGATCCTCTTCTAAACTCATCCATTTCATAACCCTATCATAACCATGGAGGATTGCTTCATTCTTTGCTGTCTCCAGATATGTAGAATTTTTTTCAGTGAGCTAAAACTTTTCCCTATACCTACTAGCAGTGCTTGCTGCACCTCTTCTTCATCCATTCACTCCATATCTCATAACTCTGGAATACTGCAACAGGTTCCTGTCTTCTCCGCTAGAGAACAGGGATCTACTTCTGTTTGCACTCATGAGAAAACTCAAACTTACCTCCTTTGTGGGTCTGATCTTGTAATTTAAGTACAATGCTGCCATACTTCCTCATCTTTCAGAAACCTGTTCCCAGGTCCCGTACTACTAACGGGGAAAAAAGAAAGAAATCTTTTCCTTTCCCCAGAATTTTACCCCCCGCCTCCTCCACCCAGAATTCACTGTCCAATCACAGAACTTCAGGGTGGTGTTCACCTCTTTTCCCTCTTATCCAGTACACAGACTTTACCAAATCTTGCTTTTTCTTCTTTTTTAAAACCACACAATTTCCTTACCTATTACCTCCTCAGATCCTCTATTCATACTTTTGTGACCCCCTTAAACTATTACCAGCTTCTCCTCCAAAAGTTGTTACCAAATTATTAAATTAACCTTAATAAATTAAATTAATCCTGATAAAGACAAACCTTTGAACCTATTTCACAAACATCAATAGGATCATTATCCCCACAGCATCCTGTAATGTTATCTGTATGGTTTGGATCTTCCCAGGTCTGTCAAAGGAAAAAGAATTATCAGTTACCAGTTGATCTGCAATTACAATTCATCCAACCTCTAAATTACTAAGATAAATAAAAACACCAATAAAAACATCAGCTTTCTGAGAACAAGCTTGCTCAATGGAAAAGAAAAAACAAATAAACAGCCTGACTGACGCTGCATAACTCACCCTCATACTCAGGACAAGTAACATGAAGATTACTGAGGACAAAACAAAAATATTAACTGCATTCATGATTCAACAGATACCTTAATCACTGCAGTGGTTAGGGTATCAGAGGACCCTGAATGAGTATTTTTCTGGTTATTAGTGGTTGTGGGATTAAGCTAGGACATCATACCATTACATTCTTATACTCTTTAAATACTATGGCACTAACATAAGTTGTTTTCAAAAACATCTATGCTTTGAGCTAACCAAGCTCCTACGTATGGATTTGTCAGAACTCAATTAGCTTTTTTACATTTTTAGATTTAGGTATGAAATATTTCTGAGTATTTTGAGATGTGTACATTCCCAAGAACAGCCAGCAGTTTAAGACCAAAGAAGCTTCTCCAGGAGGCATGTTCATGCCCTGCTCCGAGCTCTGTACAACCAAGGAATCATAGCCAAGTTAACTTAATTACTTGACCAGTACTTGTTCTGTCTCTTACTGGCTAGTAATGAGTAACTTGTTCTGAACTGGAGAAGTTTCCCTGGTAATAATTTTGAGTCCAATAAAGTTTTGTTGAAACAGTGTTAGAAAACTTTTCTTCGAGGAAGCTCTATGAGCTCCTGCTGTCCATGGTCAAACCTCCACCTCAAACTTGGTTTTGAGAGTTTGACTGATATTAAAAGGCAAAACAGTGAAAAGCAAATGCTCAGGTGTTTAAGTAGCAGAATCATTACCAAAAAATTGCTGAAGTGGAGCCAAGAGAGGATTTCAACTTAGAACTTATTTTTCCAATACTCTTCCAAAGTGCTTTTTATTTAAGGCTGCATTATACCAGTACTATTCTCCTGCCCAGCTGCACCCCTCCACCTGTAGGTTAGAAGGAAAGCTCGCTAGGAATGGTATTGTCCTCTGGACAGTATAGCAACTCCTGCAATAATGATAGTCCTACTGTTATTTTTTTATGCTGTGGAACAGAGAAGAAAACAGCAGCCACAAATACATAGCTTTAAGTTATATACTAAGGTTGAACCTCTGGCAACTGCTGATCCTGATGAAAAGCCTTCTTGTGATAATGGAGGCACTGAGCTGGATTTTGTTTGTTACAGTGGCTAGTAGGAATCTGGAGTATCATCTAGATGTCAACAAATGGAGGTTTAATGATCCAACTGGTATTTTGAGTTATTGCAGAAAATAAAAATGACAATTATCTCCAGCCCTCTTGGACTCACAAGGCAACAAGGGAAGCTGAACGCTTCTCCTGGGGAAAGTGTCATCAGTCCAAAATAATGCACTTTGTGAAGAAAAATGTTCAAATGTTTAGTTTTTGCTTTGTACTAAGGCACACATGAATTTCAAAACACTAAATGGAACTGCTGGTTTCCAACTATACCTACATGGAAACTTTGTCTACTGAGACTGCTGACTGGTAAGAACTTCATTGCTATACTCCAGCACCTGCTTCTTCACGGATGAAATAAACAAGCAGATTTTCAGGAGTTAACTTTAAGTGTAAAGAAAATAGATCATTCTTTCCTAGCTCCATCATGTTCTTTTTTTAAGTACTTATTAAAATACTAATTTAAGTCCAATTTGTTGTTCACGGAAATGAATAAAGTTTAAAACTTTTCATTATGCTCAAAATTTCAGTCATTAGTTGGGCTTTTTCAAGGCTCAAAGTTTTGAATGTGTCATCATCAGTAAAGTCTCACAGTTCAGAGAAAAGTTAGCAGTTGAGGTTTAATCTAAAAAAGAGCAGTCCTTGTGTTCCTCTTTGTTAAAGATATTTAAGAAATCCCAATTAAAATTTATGCTACAACACATGGAAATCCTATATTAGTTTTTTTAAAAAATGTCTTGTTAAGCAGAAAGGGCTACTTGACAAAGTATTCTTGAATAGCAGACCATGACAGTTTAATTCTTTCACTACAGCAGAGAGACACAGACTAAAGATCTGAGATTTCATGATCATTTAACTCTTTCCTGAAACACAACGCATCCTTACACCCACACCCAAATTCTGATCAAAATTTATGGATACAATAAAGCTCAACATAAAAAAATCCTAATTTACAAATGTATCAAAGAGAAACATCCCTCCTGCAACTGATTTGCATTCAGGTAGTATCCAAGATTTACAAGGCAATTTACAAAGAAGATAGAAAACTTTCACCATTATAACAAAAATGTTACCTGTGGGAGGGCACCATAATTCCATATATAACCCTTGTGAGGAAAGATATTTGCCACATATCGAAGCTTGCCTTTCTTTATATCTTGTTTAATGGGATTCAACGGCTCCTCAGTGGCAATCTAAGCAGATCATGAAAAAGAGAGAGAGAGAGAGAGAGAGAAAGAGATGGTGAAATGGAAAGCAATTCATTCTGTACCCAACCAGTTAGAAAGATCCATCTGGGAGCATGTGCTTGTGGTTTGAGAAGTATTAAAAGTACGATGGCCTCACTCTAAATCTCAAGGGTCATGTTCAAAAAGCAGCTTATTAAGGTTTTAAATAACGTTGTGAAGTATGCAAGAAAAAATGAATCTAGAAGAGAAAGTCATAAATTTATAAGGAGACTGTCATAGTCAAACATAAATACTGGAAGAACTTAAGTTAGAAGCTCTTGCACTTTATAGTACAAGCTCAACAGACATGCAAATAGTGGCCCAAGTTCTTCTGACAACAGGAGCTTTGACAGCAAAAGCAGAAGTGTTTAACCTTCTTCTCAGCCTCTGTTCATTGCTCTCCTGTTGACTACATCTCTTTTCTCCATCACCTCTCAGCACACAAATGCTTTTTCACAAGCACAAGTTCTGCATAGTCACCAAATGCCGACTTAACACAGATTTGGAACAAGTTAAGCCACTGTTAGAAGAAAGCATTCTTCTTCCCAAAGAAGCACTCACAGAAGGACTAAACTAATGAAAGCTGAACAGTTTATTATTGTCATCCTCCCCAAAAGCTCAAATACAAACCCACTGCCATGTGAGTTACCTACCACACACCAGCTAATTCACCGTGACCATCTTTGTGACATGCCACACCACAATCCAATCCATGTTAGCTTGGCTCCTGTTTACAAACACTCATCTGAACGGCTTCGCATTTGTTACCGACTCGGTGGTTACACTGACTCAGGCAGTACACAGCTTGTGTGCCTAAGCACACACCTCTTACCCTATACTTGTTTTACAACATCCTTGTAATTTACCTAAAGCACCACCACCAAAGCCATCTCCAAGAAATTCCACCTTTTTGAACCACGCCAAACTGTCAACAGCATGAACTTATTCCACAGGTAAACCCTCCCCAAGAACTGAGATCAAGGTTCATGTATTTCTGGTTTCACGCTTGATTCTACCTGCTTTTGGTGCTAACTTAACAATGGAGACCTCAAACAGGCCACTTGGGACTTTGACAGAAGCAGAGTTCAGCAACACTTTTTCTTGATGTAAACCAGGACAAAGAGAAGTAACTAACAACAGCAGACAAAAGTTTCAGGAAAAGCACCTTCAGTAAAAGCAAGGGAAGAACAACTGAAATACAACAAACTGATGAGCAGGAGATCTGGTACTGGGGATGTAAGAGTGAGAAACATTCATCCTAAGGCAAGGTTTAATATTCTAGCCTCCATACCATGTGAGGGAATCTCAGCACAGAGATGCAGACAAGATTTGGTATTAGCACCTTAACACAGTCTGGACTGAAGGGCTGCCAAGACAACTGCCTTAACGATTAATGAAGGAAATTTCAAGTATATGAAAAGTTACAGATTAGAGAACCACATTCAGTCTCCTCTATCAATCAAGAAAAGCTAAACCCACCAATTTCTGAACCTATGAAGACAACAAATGTTTCTGCCCTTGACATAACGTGCCGAGAGAAGGGGAGGAAGAGCGACCTAAGCTTTACGCAAACAGTTCAAATAGCATTGTCAAAGTGAAACTCTGCAAAAGAGAACCCAGCTTCCACAATAAATCATCATCTTAAAATACAAGGTAAATCTCCAAAGTAACCCTGCTTGTGGAGTAACAACTGTGGTGGTAAACACAGTTCAAATGATTTTCTAGCATCAGGGAAAGGAGAAAATAAAATCGTGAAAAAACAGGCTGGGGAGGTTCTTTGATGTTACTTTTAATAATCAAAATAGTTAACAGCTCAACCACAAACTTCCTCAAAAGCATCTGGGAAGCATCCGTAAAATTAATACAAATGTTCAGGAAGGTAGGATATATCCTGGTGAGATCTGTTGTTTCACAAACACTACATTATTCACCTTCTCTATTGTAACTGCAGAGGAACAACCCACTAGGCTCTACTTTTAAAATAATTTCCCTACAGGAGTAGGTACTTTCAATCAGTGAGGTCCCCAAGTATTTTTTCTGTCACAAGGAAATGCTTTTTAAACTTGCAACTCCTCAGGATTTGGCCTAGCACACTATACAGTGGAAATGAAAAGAACTAAATTCTGAGTGGAATGCTCTATGAGCAAGCAAGAGTAAAATTAAACGTTGGACAATGTCCTGCAAGCCAGTACTCTAGGACTGTGTAGTGCAGGTATGCTGCACTCTGCAGTCAGAGGGCTGTCAATAAGCCATGCTCACCTGCAGAAGGAAAACAAAATTAGAACCTTAACGTTTGTTATAATCGCAAGGAAAGTGTCCATATGCACAACTTCAAATTAATTTAACAGAGAAAATTTTATGTATAGAGTAATCCACACTCTGATTAAACTGACTGCTGAAAGCAACCGCATTGTCATAACTTTCATAAATACCTATATAATATTTTTTCTTAATTACCTCCATTTTTGCATTTGTCCAACGAGGCACTTCTACAATCATATTAAACAGGACCTGAAACATAAAATGACAGAACTGAAGACAAAATCCACTTGTCAATTAGTATTTTACAATAAGACAAATTCTGTCCTCTGTATTCAGCATCAACATATATAACATCCTTCTGTTCCAGCTCCTTTATGTTAAGTACAAGTCATTAAGTGCCACACAGTGATATTCAGCCCCCTTGATTCAACATTTTCCCACCCCACCCCATTGAAAACGTGAACAACTACAAATAGTGGAAATCCACATGATGTTTTTTATTCCTGTATCAATATTACTCTTCACAAAATATTCAGACAGTCAATGGAATGATCTGCCACAAGGCAGGGGTTCAGTCTACTAGTCAAAGAGGATTGGACATTTCTACAGTACATAGTTAGCTTCCCTCAAGCACTGGAAAGGATGATGCTTGTTTTTTTTCCCCCTGAGGACTTATTAATTCAGACCCTCTTTTGCCTCATTCATTTTTTTCAAAACCTATGCAAATGCAACAATCACCAACATTTCTGATTCTCAGTCAAATCTGCTTGAAGTAAGGCAAAATGAATCCAAAAGTGATGGCAGAGGAAGACATGGACCCAGATAACCTCATGTTTGTGTTAGCCTTCTTCCTAAAAAAACCAAACTGAAAGTTGTTTTAAGAAAGGGGGTGTGGGGCAATAATCTTAACACACGTAAACTCTCACGTTTTTAGAAGAAAAATAAGTTATCTATGTCCTTCTTGCTGAGGAGGTTAAAGTGACGTTTTCCAGAGAAAAACCGTGTAATTGCCATAAGGTTTTCTCTTCTGAAGCTGTCAGAGTTAGGCACTACCAAGGAGTAAATTATTAACTGAAATGGGTGACTAGACCAAATCACCCAGATACGTCTACAACTTGTTTTCTCCTAGTTTACTAACATAATCTCAAAATATCACATTGCCTGGGACATCTCTTCACAGCCAAAGAAAACTCACATTGGTATCAAAAATCGCAACAGTTCAGTGTTTTTGCAGAGATTTGTAGGAAAAAAATATATAGTTAACCTAGATGAAGATTTACACTGACTCTTTAACTACACTGCAGTTAAGGCTCAGGCAGACCAATATTCGTATTTTTGCCCCTTGTATCCTGCAGCTCCAACAAACAAATACCATTACTGAGGTCAATACAACAGTCTGATTAAAGTAATTCCAGTGGTTCTATGATCTCCTTCCCAAACAAACCTGGAATATGGAAAGTAAGAAAGCAATGGAAAACCCCAGCTGTCACTCAGCGTTTCTCCCATGACAGCAAATTCCCGGCAAATTTACATTCAATTTGCCATCCATAAGTACCATGCCCATAATGCAATCAGTGGCATGTCAGATAGAATCACTTTCCCCAATCAGATCATAACCAAACAAAACAATTAAAAAAAAAAAAAAAAAAAGAGAAAGGTGCTTCAGATCAGTTTCATAAAGTACATCTTACATACATAAGAACAGCTCAAACAGAGAAGTAATCAGAAAGAGAGCTCAAAGATGTCAACACTAAGGAAGCAGAAGAAAGCAACATACATGCAGCAGCAGGTAAGGGAAAGATTGGAAAACAGCCAAATAAAGTCTGCACATCCATCTGGGAAACACTTGGAAAAAAGAAATACACAGCATGAGAGCCAGTGCTGACAAGCAACTCTTAGGGAACTGCCAAGCAGGTCAAGGAATTGTTCTGACTGGTAGCTACAGGCAGAAAACTTACAAGTACTCCTGGAACTATACATAATGTCTTCCCCTCCACCACAGTCCTGTATTTTTGTTGTTTAGATGTCACTGTATGTCTTCCTGACCTTGCCTAATACAATGGCTTCAGCAGCCTGTAAATCTTGGGTTTGAGCTTTAATTGGTCAAGAGTTATTCCAGGTCTTTAACAAAACAGCTCTCAGGGCTGGACAACAATTGGACTGAAATGAATACAATGCTGCTCTCAAAAACAACAACAACAAAAAAAACCCCACTTGGATTTAACTCAGCTCTAAGACCAGGTCCTCATAACTTGTGGTATCAATCAAATGTGAATTGTCAAGAGTCTTAAATGTGACAGCCTGACAGATTAATCTGTATGCAAAAAAATCCCCGAAAGTACTCTGTCTAATGCTAAGCTGCCACAAGCATTTACAAGAGATTAATAACTTCATGCAGTGCTTACATTTAAAAATAAAAAGTTTTATTTATAGGGCAATCACTTTTTCACAGTGATGAGACAGGATTCACTAGTGTGGAAAGTAGAGCACATACTAGATAATTTGACAGATAGACAGATATATACTCCTCTGTTTTTTTAGGGTTTTTTTCTTCCTCTTTCCTACCCCGTTTCCCTCTTTATCTAAATATCATGCAGGAATTTTTCCATCACTCTTATCTTCCCAGACCAAGCACCTATTCCTTCTAACCACTTGAAAGTTCTTCCCTATCCCTTGCTGCAAAACCATGCCTACCTCAGCTGCAAACAGAAATGCAAGTGTCAGACACCACCTGTCTTCAGAGATTACTATCTGCATATGCCATTCAGTGGTTAGTTTTGGATAGTGAATGCATCTGATAATTAATATTTTTATTTTAAATCACTACACCCAAAAATTCCACCTCACCAAACTCCCAAATGAGCACTTCTACCCCCTTCATGCAATGGTGAGAACATTTCAACATTCCATTTGACACACCTTCCAGTGATAGAAAAAAGATCTCACATGAAATGAAAACTTACTTTGGGAAGTTTACCATTTAACTGCCTTAGTTTGACAGCAGTCAACTGGTCTGCCTATGAGATTGCTGCTTGCTGCAGTCCAAACTTAATCCAACTCTGCAAGCACCTAATGTAGAAGGGGCTCCACTTCATGACAGCAGACTGTTCAACAGGCCAGATGGAGTAGTTCCTATAGGCTAGCCTCACGACAGCTCTGCTGGCTGATGGTTTCTTCAGGACAGTCTCCTGGAGCATGCAAGAAGAGAGGGGGAAACCGTTTCCTAGATTCAGAAAAAGGGACAGAACCCATCTGCTAGGGAAGTGACCTGACTGAGCCCAAGAGGAATTTTCAATCCAGGTTATTAAGCAGCTTGTTTGACTTTGGGTTAATGTGAACACAAGACAGACATACGTACTTATGGCTCTAGTATACCTTGAAAAGGTGATGGGAAAAAAAAAAATCCATTTGCTCAGAGTAGTCAAAAGTGCATTTCCTAAGTCCTAAAACTGAATACAAAAATCAGCAGAAAATTACATCAGAAGGAGCAACCAGTACATTTAAACGATATCCTTTATTTCCTAAGAACTGCATGATAACTACATTACATGGGAACTCACATAGGATGTAAATAAATGTTTGCTTTATCTGGGTGTTTTCTTTAGTACTGGCTGGCAATTCACTACATTTCATTTCAGTTGAACATCATTTTAAATGTATCATGATATCGTGTTTACCGAGACAAGCAGAAGCGTCTCTCACACAGAGAACAGGAACAGTTTTTGTTTTCTGAAATAAGAAAACAAAACCAGAAAAATAAAAAAGATACACAAATATACTTCAACATACTTATTCAGCAAATGTTGAGAAAAGCAAGGAAAATACAGACTGTCGTACCCAGGTAAACCGTGAGTCAGAGTTCTCTCCATTAAGACTGATGGGCAAAAACAACTGCTAGCTCTGGCTTCTTACAGAAGATACCTCATTTTGATCAGGGCTTGTTATTACAAACCTCAATATCACAGGAAGAAAAAAAAAAATTAAAAAGCATATTCGTGACACTATTTTTACAACCTACCCTTCTGGACTCACTCGCATACATCCTTCTCAGAAACAATTCTTCCTTACTGTCCTGGTTCAGCTAAGATAGAGTCAAGTTTTCCCCAGCAGAGAGAGAGGGGGAAGGGATCTCCAGACGGGTTATTCATACCATGCTGATGTCAGGTCCAGGGGCGGAACCTTTTCCTTGCTCTTTGGCAGGCTCGATGGGGAACCTTTCTTTCCGTAAACCAGCTAGCGGTATTTCTCTGTATATCGTTTGTCTTGTTCACTGTTATTGCCGTTTATTGTTGTTACCATTGATACTGTTGTTGTTCAGATTGTTCTATCACACTGTTGTATTAAATTTCTTGTTATTTTAGCCAGGGTCTGTGTCTAACTTCCAGCCCGACCGGCGCGGGTGGGGGAGGGGCAACAGCAACATGCTCTCCGATTCCAGTAAGGCTTAAACCTGCACACTTACCTAACTTTCCCTTTCTTGTTCAACTATTTCCTTTCCCAGTCTTCCAAAGTTCCTTCGTAGGAGCATGTGAGGGGAGGGTTTTGAACAGGTATGATTTTGCCCAGAAGTTGCAACATTTAATGCTCAACTCTGAAGGTTCAGCTAAGTTGAAGCAGAAATGGAGCAACCAATGCAGAGCAAGGAAGGGGACAGAAAAATAAAGAGAGGAACAAAAACTCAATATAATTTCATAAAATGACAAACCACCACTTTTTAAGGCCTGATTGCCATCCACCATCACTCCTGCATGACAGGGAGAAGAGATATGCTAAAGGTTACAATTACCTTAATCATTTTTGTAGCTGAGTGGTTAAAATAAAGCCCTGAAAGCAACAGAGGCAACACTTGGGGGCTTCTTGACCCTTCCTCACTGAGACACACTGAGCTGACAAGACAGAAAGAAGAAAAAGCAGCTGTCATTTCAATTTCTTTTCTGTCTGCTCATTTACACTCTTTCAGGGATTCTCATCAGCCATCAACTGAACATGGCAGCATGCACCTGAGGACTAACGAGAACAAAAAAGATGAGCCACAGTCCAGTAGCACTGTGAACAAAGGACAATGTTTAAAAGGAAAAAAGAAAAAAAGAAAAAAAAAAAGGAAAAAATGAAAGCATAAAGATCAGTTGTCAACAGTTGGCTGCACAGCAAAATTTAATTGAAATTTGGGAAAGTCTAAAATGTTTCAAGAAATGGCTGCACTACTGAGAAAAGTTCATACAGAAACACCATGACGTTTCCCTTAGAACTACAAGCTGAGACTGCAAAACAGCTAACAGACTTGTATGATGTGCATTCTCCTACCCCATGAATGCTGAAAGCTGAAATTTCTCTATTTTGAGACTTGTTTTCCTGGCATCAGGAACACCAAGAACAACTTAAAGTAGATGAGATAGACTGAAGAGACTCATGCAGAATTATCTTCATTTTCCATAGCTAAACTGACATCTGATGAACACCAGTTCAGCATAATTTAACACTCTTAAGAGAGCTTGCCCTTGTCGAAAGTAACAAGTAACTGTCACCCTAAAAGCACAAGTTTTAGAGATGCCACTGTATTTCCAGGGCAAGAGGAACTATCACCTTTGAATTTTGGCCAAATTCAGTGCAAGGATCAACTGAACACCAGGTTTACAATAATAGCCTTTGCATCCCTAGACAACAGTAAGGAGTACAGTGCTTCAAAGGTCTTCAGGAATCAGTACGTGGCATTAAATTCCTCACTGCCCCTTTAACCCCTGATTAAGCCATGCTTTCCCTATACACAAACACACAGGGATGCATTTCTCACTACGTCAAGGTGAGGAGAGCTTCTGAAGAGGCCAGTGTTAAGAAACTGCTTTCCTGAACACAAAGATCCCTCTATTTTCTCTCTTCTCCCCAACGGCCAAACATGATGATGAAAAAGGGTTTTCTAAATTATTTGCATTCTCACATTTCACCATCTAAGACCAAGCATGTTTGCGAAGCCCATAGCCTGCATGTTTGCTTACTTGAATCAGAAGCCCACAAAGACTGGAATGTACCTTTGCCTTTGCTCATTTTCTGTAGTTCTATTAAACTCCAGTCCACAGCTCTCTCATAGCAGGAGTTATGTGAAGCAGCTTTCAGAGTCTACACTGGCCCAGGAAGCAAGAGCTGCTTAGCCTCACTGGCATTTTTTTCCCCCCACTCCACAGATCCAGAGATCAGAAAAAGGGTACTAGAAATGTGATTTTCAGCAAGCTATTATGCTTCCCACTACACAGACAAATGCAGTTTTGAACAGTTTTAGACACTGCATAAAACAGGCTTCGCAACTGGTACTGTCACAGTATTCCTAAGCAGGTAAGAAACAGAACACTTGACTTCCAGCAAGAGCAGTAATTAAGAATTCATGCTGCAAGACAATGATTTCAGAGAAAGGCTACTGGCACGTACTGCTTCTCCTCAATGATTCATCTTTCATGCATGATTCTCTGTCTACTAAATCGTACTTAAACAGGCATCAAGCAACAGGAAATCTAAAAAGCGTTACCTAGGCACTGTAGCTTGAATGAATCACAGGGCAAAGGGAAAGAAAATATATAATGCAGGATTGCATGGGGACTGTTGTACAGAAGAACCAGTGTACCACACACTAATTGCAGAACTATGAGAACCTAGACAGTTAAGACAGTTCTTTCACATCAGATGGGTAGTTACAGTTTTACAGTATGACGGGACAAACAGATATGAGAAGATTGGGACACACACCCACACACCATGGTGTTAAAGAATAGTTTGCTTCATTTTTTTCTTTCACTTTCTTCTACTAAGTTTTAGGTACTCCTACACCAGGGAAAGCACTGCAAAAAGTGCTACATTTTGGAAAAGACACCTGCACAAACATATCTTGTTTCACAGAAAAAGCCTGAGCAGATCTTCCATGGTTTTTTGGGCTTCTGCTAAATCTAACTTCAGTAATGATTAACGCTGAACCATTAGCAGATGTGACTTTTCTCTCTTGGGCTCCCAGATGAGTATCGAAAACAACAGTTCTAAAAAGCAGATACTAAGTCTAATTTCTGCCCTAACATACTTATGATTTCTGAAGTTTTGTATATATACGAAAGATTATCCACAGTCACAGCGTAATGAATATTTCATTAATGGAGATTTTATGGTAAATGTTTCCGAATGCAATAGCAAAAAAGTTAACATATTTATGCTGCAATAGTCATAATGAACTTTTCAAAGACTGGTATAAAAGTCTTTGCCTTTGAGAACATCTTGATGAATAAAAGAATGCTGACATTTCTGGCTCATTCAAAGAGAAGAATATTAAATCCCTTTAAACCTTCTTCTCCTAAAAGACTTGCATTTAAAGATATGCCAACCATATTCAGTGAGAGCAAGTTCACTCTGCAGAACAGTGATGTTGGAAAGGGAATAGTAACAAAAAAAATAAAAGCTTAGCAGTACCTCAGTTCCAGCAGTCTTTGACCTCTTTGCTGGAATCTCTTTATCCTATAGAGGAAGAGTGAAGTAAAGAGTGTACAAAGAAAATTAGAGAGCAATACTGTATTCACATAAATACAGACAACAGTAGTTTTCAATGCAATTGAAACACCCCTTTGTGGGCATAAGGCCTACACTACAACTTTTAGAAGTAAGTACTCAAGTTCTCTTTCATTGTGAAATTATAACCTTCCAGCTGTTAACAGAGGAAGATAAAAATGTACATGGACACAACCGCTTTCTCCCAGCTACTAAAAAATTTAAGCATTAATTTAGGCCTGTCCTCAACTGAAAAACACAGTCATCCTTCTGTTCAGCTGAAAAAGATAAAAAACAAAATAAACAAACAAAACCAGTATGAAAAAATAAGGCTGGAGTTATCCATCACAAAATAAAGTCCACAAAATTTAGACCAGGGAAAGGAAAGAATATAACATACAACTCCTTATGTCCTCTTCCTGAAAAGAAGGCAAAATTAACAGACCTTCACAATAACTCCTTTCTTGCTCCTCCTTCAGGACCCTATATCCTGTGGAATCCTTGCTCACACACCAAAATTAAAGCCTCTCCACACTGATCAGACATCGCTGTACTATAATCTACAGAAAAATCAGAGACTATAATCCACCTCTTCAAACCTTAAACTCTAGATGCAGGGACAGCAAAGCCCCCAGGAAACACGTGATGAAAATACCCATGGCTTTCCCAGCAATAGCACCCACTGAACAGAGCATCTTAGTAATGACTCTCTGAATGAGACTTACCTCTTCCACAAAGCAGCATGCTTAGAGTCTTGCTGATCAAAAAGGTTTCATGCCTATTTTTAATCTCTCAGTTTAAATAATTCAAGACATTGGTTCATTAGTTCAGAAGTCTCATCCTGAACATGTTAGAGCTGCTGACCTTTCTCACCATTCATATCATCCATAGAGACCCAGCAACAAATCAAGAAAACGTCCCAAACCTTCCCAACCTGTTTGTGTAACAAGCATACCATAATAAGCAACCCTAAGTCTAAACCAAAGACTGGCAGTTCCCACTGGTGACACATAAAACAGGCGTTTCATTATTGCTATAATGAAACTCCAGGGAGTGTGGCTAACAAGACGTGAAAGTGCTCAGCTGCACCTCACGCCTTGTAATTCTCCGAAGGTGCGATTACCACTTCTCTCTTGGGCATTACTGTTGGCTTCCAATTATAATGCTCCTTTTGGAAATTTAAAGAAATACACCGTAAGATACATAATCATGTGCTGTACGTCTCCTACTGCAAGGAAACATACACTTTTAATTGCAGATGTAGAAAATTGCCAAATTAAGAAGATTAATAGTAAGAATTAATTCAAGCACACATAAACACAAACCTTAAACACAGAGAAGTAACGTAAGATACAGTGAGGGCTCCCCCTGCCCTAAATCACCTGGAGACTCAGAGACGCCTAGGCTGGTCTACACAGTAATCATCATGTTTCACTGCAAGATACTGAACTCAGCAGAGAAAATTGGGTGGAGTTATTGTGCCTGCATTACATAATAAAACAGCCTGCGTTGAAGTGGTAATTTCTGATACTATACATTTGTCCATTAATTTCTAAAAAACCAAAACAAACAAAAAATAACCAGCGATGGCTTTTAAAAACTGTATTTGTACCTAAAGAATACCAACAAAACTGTTATTTTGAAATTAACTGTAGTTCAAGGCATAAACACATACCTCTTTAGATTCAGCAAACAGTGGAATGTCATGAAATGGCGAAATATATTTACCATCTGCATTCTCTGAAAAACAAAACAAAAAAGTATCATTACAAATCTAAAGATATGCCAGATGTTGGTACTGCTATTGTGCATTACAGAAATGTATGATATATCACAATTATGCATCAGTTAAAACTTTTTCTGAAGTTTAATTCCAAGGACTAAAATATAACCTACGTGTAGGACAAGGAATTTGATTGTTTGACAAGGATTCACTGGAATCATAATCATTGCTTTAGTATTCAATACGACACTTTTCTTCTAACTACCTGTCAATATAAGCTCCATAAAGATGACGGAGGAAAAAATACCAGGGGAACCTCATTTCCATGAATTATCAGTGAATTCATCTGGGTTTCTAGCAATGCTGCTGCCCTTGTGACTTCACTGTATCTCTAATAAACTAAGTTTTATGACTACAAAGAGAAAATCCTCCAACATAGTAGGCCAAAGTATTACCAAAAGAATAAGTGAGGAATGTGACAATTGTTCAGGCCCTAGACATGAAACACCACATCTCAAAACCAGCAGAAATTGACATTAACTTAAAGGGGGTCCGGTTTGCACCTCAGCCTTGCTCCCACTGTAGAAAGGAGCAAAATTCATTGTTGATGTTTAAGCTTTTCAAACTACTCAGAAATTTTTCAATATACTAAAAGCCCAAGTACTGCATCAAAACAGAAACATCAACAAAAACATAAGGTGCTAACACAAATCCCAAGGAACTTCTCCTCTGCTAAGCCCTAATCACAGTAAAGGAAAAAGCATACAAGGGACTTCATTTAGCTTTGGACTGCACTTTGACCACCTCTGCAAAGGGTAAATGGTAGTTGGTTTTGCAACTCCTCGAAGCCTCCCAGACGCTCCTCCCAAAAAAACAAAGTTTAGTAGTAGGCTGCTTATTCCCACTAACTAAAGTGATTTTCTCTAGATGAGATCCTGCACTGGCAGTCCCCTGGGGACTGAGCACAAGGCATCTCTGGCACAGTACCGGTGACAGGGTACAGAACGCCTCATTCGCTTCTCTCACACCACCAGACGTCAGCATTAACTGCTTGTAAGTCAACAGACCAAAACTGTACAAAACCATGGCTAGAGAAGTGGCATACAAACAAACAACGTTACTATTAAAATGCGTAATACTGAGACTGCACGCCATCAGCTCTCAGTGGGTTTGGAGAAGCCTCCTGGAGCTCTGCCCATGCCCTTCTGGTGCCTCTTGCTGCTGCTGGCCCCACAGGCCCCTCAGGATTGAGGCCCCGTGTTTTGGACGCCAGCCTCCCCTCACCGTGACGTTTCTGGAGAGAGGGCTGGCCTCGTCCCAGGTGACAGGCCATGCTCCCCGTGGGCAATCATACCGCAGAGGTGAGATGAGGCAAGGGTCCCAAGGCTGTCCTCGGGGTCCCTGAGTACCCCGTGGCCTCTGCACCCAGGCTGCCACAACACCGCACCGCGGCAGCGCGTCAACCCCGCAGCCCCAGCACCTCCTCACCCTCCAGAGGCCTTTGCAAGGGCTGATGACGGGCACGGCTGTGCCGCGCACACCAGGCCCAGCATCCCCTCCAAAAAGGCCATCTGCCAGGAAACCCCCTCACACTCGCCACAAAAGAACGCCCCCCTGGAGTTGAAGGCGGGAGCTCAGGGGCGACAACTCAACCAGCCCGAGGGACCTCGGCGGGAGCGGGCAGCCGCTACCGCCGCCTCTCCCCACCGTACCCCCCGCGAGGCGGGG